CAGTGGTGCAATCTCGGCTCACTGAAACCTCCTTCCTCCCAGGTTCAAGCGATTCTTGTGCCTCAGCCTCTGGAGTAAGTGGGATTACAGGCATGTACCACCACACCTGGCTAATTTTTATATTTTTAGTAGAGACAGGGTTTTGCCACGTTGGCCAGACTGGTCTTGAACCCCTGATCTCAGGTGATCCACCTGCCTCAGCTTCCCAAAGTGCTGGGATTACAAGCATGAGCCACCGTGCCCGGCCCCAGATCCTTATTATACAGATGAGAAAGCAGAGGCTCAGAGAGGCTCCATAACTTTCTGGAGACCACACTGCTTGGTGGTGATGGGGGTGGGACTGAGCCGGGTCTCCTGACTCCCTGTGGCTCTGGTCACTATTTCCAAAGTGCCTGCCCCTGGAGAGGGCTTTGTCAGGACCGGGCTCTGATTTCTCTTCCTCTCCACCCCTTCTCACAGAAAGTCCATCAACAGGAACTCCGTGAGATCGCGAATGCCTGCAAAATCCTCCAAGTTGTACGGCACGCTGCGAAAGGGGTCGGTCTGTGCAGACCCCAAGCCCCAGCAGGTGAAGAAGATCTTCGAAGCATTGAAAAGAGGCCTCAAGTAAGGCTGGGCTGTGTGCTGCTTCTAAGAAGTGCATTCTTCTACCTCGCCTCCTCTCTGTCTCTTCCTGGGGAAGCGTGGGTGGGTCTTGTCTACAAGAGGTGACAGGTTAAGTTACTGGTCATTCGTTTAGTCAACAAGTATGTCACGGTGCAGCCATGTGCTCAGCCCGGTTCTTGGGCACTGGAAACCTGGCAGTGACTAAGGCAGGAGGATTCTGGTCTTGTGGAGCATGCAGTGCAGAGGAGCAGATTTGATGCTATCAATCAAGAAGCAATGCAATCAATCATGCAGTCCATCATGGAACTTCCACCTGTGCTGAGTGCAGTGGAGAAGGGTAACAGAGAGACGGTATGTCGAGGGCCTCAGCAGACAGGATGATCCTGGCAGTCACCGAGGAGGTACTGACAGTGTCTGACACACAAACGGTCTGAAAAGGCGCCACCATGCTCACCTCTGGGGGACAAGCGTTGTAGGCAGAGGCAACAGCACGGGCAAAGGCCCCGCAGTGGGAGCCTGAACTGTGAGCTCACACACACAGGAGGTCAGGGCAGTGGGTGTCTGAGTGAAGGACAGACTTGCTCAGAGACTGACTGATGAGCTGGGCTGAGGCCCGCACAGGAAGAATGAGTCACTCCACAAATTTTTTTTTGAGATGGAGTCTTGCTCTGTTGTCCAGGCTCAAGTGCAATGGTGCAGTCTCAGCTCACGGCAGCCTCTGCCCCTGGGGATCAAGCAATTCTCCTGCCTCAGCCTCCCGACTAGCTGGGAGTATAGGTGCACACCACCACACCAGGCTAATATATATA